TTTTTTTTTAAGGGGATTCTTTTTTAAATTAATTTATTTGACTGTGTCGGGTCTTAGTTGCAACATGTGGGATCTTGTGCTGTGTGCATGGATTCTCTAGCTGTGGCACGTGGGTTTAGTTGCTCCACAGCACGTGGGATAAGTTCCCCGACCAGGGATCAAACCTGCATCCCCTGCATTGCGAGGTGGATTATTAACCACTGGACCACCAGGCAAGTCCCCCAAACTGTCTTTTTCTGTAATTTCTGCTGACTTTGAGATTGTGTCATAATTAAAGCTCCCAAACAACCAGACACTTTGGGATTTCAGGATCCAGTCAAGGTCATGAACCTTGCCTCCATCTATTGGAAAAAGCATTGTAAGGACGTTCTAGGGCAGTGCATCAAGTTAGATCTAAAGTAAACAAAAACTACTTGCTAGGCTCAAAAAATTAAGACTTTTTTCTATTTGCCCTCTTAAACTTTGAGCTTAATAAAGTACATAATTCTCTGTTATTAATATTTGTGTTAACATACATTTCACAATTGAAACAGAGAATTATACCTCAGTAGTTGAACAAATATGTCATATTCAACCAATTCGTTGCTGCTGCTGTTTTACCACAGGAGACAAATCTCAAGTCTTAAAAGAAACTTACTCATTCTTAGAGGGCTACATGTTTAGCTACCCAATTAAAACAAATTCATTTTTATAGATTTAACTTCACTTCACTGTAACAGTCTTACTATTTTCCATTTTCTTATCCCGCTTCTGATCATCTAAAACAATTAACAGGGCAGCAGAAATTAGTAGCGAAGAAATAACCTGCACCCTGCAGGAAACCAGGGCATCTTCCTGGCCTGGGTAAAATAGTAATTAGAAATGCAAAGGCCCAGTTGCACTAATGAGAAGCTTAGCATCAGTCAGTCTTAAGTAAATGGACTTTCAGGTTGGCTGTCACTAAGCATGAACGAAATATTAATTATGTAACTTGTATCATTAATAAGTTCTTCTAAAACATTGTGGAAGCTTCTCCATAGTGGGAGAAATGTCTGCACTCTTCTGTGAAAGAAGTAAACTATATAAGTAATTGGTAACCGTCACCCCGCCCCATAACCAGGCTCAACTCCTTTCTTTCCTTCATTGTAAAAGGTTCTGCTAAATGTTTCCCTCTACTCTCTACAATCCACTCTTCACTATGACCTTTTTGACTAATCCTCTGCCAGGCTCACCGACAAGCACTCAACATACGTTAGCTAATAGGATCTTCACAATCCTGTGTGGCAGAAGCCACCATTCCCATTTGACAGATGAGGAAACTGAGACAAACAGCTTAAGACACAATCGGGAGAATCCTGTGTTCCTTCAATTCTAAGATGCCACCAAATTTTAACAAATTTCTAATTTAAAATTTTTTGATTAGGGTAAAATACACATAAAAATTTACTATTTTTATATGTACAGTTCAGTGGCAATAAGTACATTCACAGGTCTGTGGAATCATCACCATCATCCATCTACAGAACTCTTTTCATATTGCAAAACTCAAGCTCTGTATCTACTAAATATTAACTCCACATCCCACCCTTTCTCCCGCCAATGCAACCACTATTCGATTTTCTCTCTCTGTGAATTCATTTGACTACTCTAGGTATCTGCTTGCATGCTCAGTCATGTCCGACTCTTTGTGACACCTATGGACTACAGCCTGCCAGGAACCTCTCTGCCCGTGGGACTTCCCAGGCGAGAATACAGGAGTTAGTCGCCATTCCCTTCTCCAGGGGATCTTCCCAACCCAGGGATCAAACTCAGGTACCCTGCACTGCAGGCAGATTCTTTACCTTCTGAGCCACCAGGGAAGCCCAAAACATGTACAGATACCACTTTTAAGATCATAAAACACATCACAGCTTCTTAGATATCAAATGGGAGACATCTATACTATCAGCAAATCATTAAATTGCAAGCATAAGACCTTCTACCTGTTGGATTCTTAATACTGCCTCAATTCCCTTTGGTTCTAAAATTAAAGTCTACAATAGGCTAAGCTCTGACTATTCATGTCACACCCATGCCTTTTTGTTTAGCTTATTTTTTATTGAATTTATTGTAATTGTTCAATTACAATACAGTGTTAGTTGCTACAGTATAGCCAGGTGACTCAGTTATACATATATATACACACAAATTCTTTTTTATATTCTTTTCCATTATTGATTATCACAGGATACTGAATATAGTTCCCGGTGTTTATGGTAGCTGGGACTGTTGTTGGTATTAAGTCACTAAGACATGTCCAACTCTGTGATCCCATGGACTGAAGCATATCAGGCTCCTCTGTCCTCCAGTGGGGATTAGCAGATGTAAATTGGTATATCCAGAAGGATAAACAACAAGGTCGCACAACCTATGTCTTCATTATTCCAAACACTCACTCCCACTCTCTCCTTCTTGCTTTGGGCTTTGCCCTTTGTCATCAATCTTTTTTTTTTTAATTTCATTTTCTATGTGCTTGCAAAAATACATGTAATTTGGAAGGACTGGATTTCACATGAGGGGATGGATATAAATCAGTTGTACAGATATAAATAAGTTTAACCCAAGAAAACTTACCCCTCTGGAGTTAACATTTAGTTAGTTTTTTAACTGCCATTGTTTGGGATAAAAACTGAATCTTTTTAAGGTGTGTAAAGTATTTGTCCATTTTGTGGATACATAACTTTAAAATGTTAGATATTAACACAAAGAGCAACCAAACCACAAATTAACAAGCTATTATCCATCAAGTCAATAAATACAATAAATAAATGCTATTTTAATAAATGTTAAATTCAGTTCATTCAAATGTATATACCATTTTATCATTCATGGAGCAACATTCATCACAAATGTAATTACTGACCATCTACTGCATGCCAAGCATTGTTCTAGGAACCACTGATGCAGTGGTTTTGTTTTGATTTGTTTTAAATACAGTCAAAAGTCTCAGTGATACTTCCATTCCAGTTGGAGAGACAAAAAAATACAGATAAATATGGAAAATACACAGTACATAAGAACGTGGTACATTCATAGTAAAAAAATAAAAGTAGGGAGATGTACTATGAAGAATAACTATGTGAAATTTTAGATCAGGTGGGCAGGAAAGGCCTCACGGACAGCACAACTTTTAAGTAAATGCAATGAAGCTAGTCATCCAGATAATCTGAGAAAGGAATTTTCTAGGCAGAATAAACAGCCAGTGCAAAGGCCCTGAGGCCCAGTTTCACCAACATGTTTGAGAATCAGTGAGGAAGCTCACGTGCCTGAAGGGGAACAAAAGAGGACAATGAGCTCTGAGGTCAGAAGGCAACGAGGAACAAGTGCTAAACTAAAGGCCTTGCAGTCCAGCAAGCACTGCGGTTTCTAAGCCACATGTGACTACCACCATAGGTTTCTCAAAAAGGCATGGATGACATGATTTACGTTTCAGGAAACACCACATCACTTTCAATCTTTTCCAGAAACACTTTAACAGACTGAGCACCTTATTAATGGAGATACTTTGGACACGAGTGAAACACTTAACCACAGTGCCCTCATGTTCTGGCTGCACTGGCTGCCTCTGAATGCAGGGTGGGGATGGGTTCCTCTAAGTTCCCTCCCCAGAGTGTGCTGAATGGTCAGGAAAACAAGCAGTAAAGAAGGGGCAAGGGAGGAGGTAGAAACAGCCTGAGAAATATGCCAGGAAATCTCTGGTTTCAGAGCATGAAGCAATTCCCCAAAGAAATCAGCAGACCTGGATACTTAAATCTCTAGAGGAGAAACTTGCAGAAAAACTAAAGGTGCAATAATTAGGTATTGTGTATTACACAAAGTAAAAGATACAAAAGAAAATATCTAAAATACTAGCATACAAAGTAAACTATCTCAAAGTAAGACATGCAAAGTAAAATACTTATGCGTATTTTACCCTAATCAAGGTTGCGGAGATGCGCTAAAAGATGGACCGTACCATTTGCACTTGAAATGGGGAGGTACGCTGGCTGGAACAGGGGGGCATTGGTGTTTGTGTCACATCACATGAAAATGCTTTAGGTGCAGGATGTACTGATACCATTAAGCTTCCCAAAGCAAACAGCTGACATTGGCACCACAGACCAAAAATAGATTTTCATTCTTTCATGCAATTTTCATTAACTTTTATATAAAGACAATTAACTTATAAGCTTATTCATGCATTTTCCTGAAAAACTATCCATTAAATATTTACAAACTAAACACTTTTTCTAGCTCCTCTTTTGAATATTTTTGTGACATTCTGTGGATTTTGTGTGTTTAACACATACTAAAACATAGCATTTACCATTGTTTTCAGGGGAAGGGCAGATCTGCCATGCCATCAGTTTTCGAGAAGGATGCCTAGAAAGAGGCTCATTGTTCAGTGACTAAGAACACCATTCAGAGCCCAATCCACAGACTCACTCATGTACTGGCATTGAGATGACTGTCACAACCACTAGATGGCGCTTGACACCACATACTACCACCAACCCGTCCCTTGCTATTAGAATCTAATCACTGCTCGGGCTGCAGTCCGTGGGGTCGCAAAGAGTCGGACATGACTGAGAACTGAACCACAACATTCACTGTACTCCCTATTTTGAATCGCTATCGGGCCCTTTCAAATAAACTTCCCAGTATTACCAGTAAAGCATCTATTAAGTGCAAAACTCTTTCCCTCACAGGACTATTTGTTTTAAGCCACAGCAAATCATTCGAGAACAGTTCAAATGCTAGTCTACCTTTAAGGGCAAAATCAGGTGACCAGCTGGCACACAGGAAATGTATACCAACAGCAATTTGTAAAAAACTATCTTTAGAGTCAAAAGGAAATCAGAATCTCTTAATGGATAAAGTTGGGGCAAACTTGTTGCCCTGTAGCTGTTTTTTCTTGTTCGGATCAGCTACTTTGTGTTCTAAGTTTTGGACTAAGCAATGGAAGATTCAGGGTGTGGGGCTGGTAATGAGCGGATATCTACCATTTGACTCTGGAGCCACTCAATGAGCGTTTCTGCCGTGGAGTCTGGGATCTGACACCTCAAGCCTTCCTTCTCGTCTGCTTCCATCATCTCCAGCAACCCGCGCAGGTCTTCCACAAGGTGCAGGGCTCGCAAGCTTCCCATGAATGGGGAGGTGGGGGACTGGCAATCAAAAATCCCATTGGAATATTCCAGGGCCTTAGAACCTAGGTTTAAAAAAAAAAAATCAGAGAGAGAGCAATGGGATTTATGCTGGATAATATACCAAAGCTGAAGGTGGCAAGCAAGTCTAGTCACAGTGAGGAATGACCAAACAAGTAGGGAAAAGAGAATTCAATCACGTAAATCTCTCCAAGGGATAGTCATTTGGTGAAAAAGTAAAAACTATGTAATTGATGAGAGATTGTTGCTGTTTAGTTCTTGTATCCAACTCTTTGTGACCCTGTGGACTGCAGCCTGCCAAGCTCCTCTTGCCAAGGGATTTCCCAGACAAGAAAACTGGAGTGGGTTGCCATTTCCCAAATATCAGTGGTCAAATACCTAACAGGGAGGCCAGCTGTGTGGCATAGTAAGAGTAGGATGGGTCTTGGTATAAGATGAGCTGAGCTCAAGAGACACAGGCTAAGAAGAGAGCAGATCAGTTTGTGTGGAGCCATGTATTCCCCAAAATAAAAATTTTAGAAAGCATAAAGTTTTTAAATCCCCTAGAAAGAAGTTGCATATTGAGGTAGAAATTGCAAAGCATAATTTCAAAGGTAAGAGAGCCAGCTCTCGGTTAACTGCCTAGAATTTAATGTCTGAAGTTCAATACCTTACACACGTACATTTTATACGTACAAGGGAGCATGTGTGGATAAACACTTTCCCCCGCAATTTTGTTTGCAGCTAGCATCAAATGCTCTTGCTAATGTTAGCTTCAAAATATAGTTTTAAAGCCATTTTTATTTTCTATCACTTTTTACAGAAAACAGTCTACTACTTAAATACATACACTGATTCACAGTGCATTCTGAAAGCACCCATAGACACCTCTACATCTCTTTGATTTTTAGTTTCTGGTCTATCAAACATACCATCAAATATATATATTAACTTTATGCTTAAATTTCAGCAACTATGATATTTAGGCCATCACCTCACAAATCCGGGCTTCCCTTGTGGCTTAGCTGGTAAAGAATCCGCCTGCAATGTGGGAGACCTGGGTTCGATCCCTGAGTTGGGAAGATCTCCTGGAGAAGGGAAAGGCTACCTACTCCAGTATTCTGGCCTGGAGAATTCTATGGACTATACAGTCCATGGGGTCACGAAGAGTTGGAACCAACTGAGTGAATTTCTCTTTACTTCCCACAAATCTAAAGGTCTTACAACTGGATGAGACCTGTTAGCCAATGTGTAAGTTCTCTCTCCAGCTGGCCACAGGGTTGATCAGTTCTAACAATGAGGAAAGGAATTCTCTTCCAGCTATTTAATGCCATTGATGTCCCTGATCAGCAGACTACAAGATTTGGATCAAACATCTACCAAAGTATGATAACGGTAACCACTGATATGTACAGTGATGAATGCTAATGGAGCCACATAACCATCTAAATCAGCCTCCTCAGGAAACCCTGCACAGTTGAGATGAGAAATCAGAAAAAAAAAGAAAAAATAGAGGTGAAAATGTCAGGAGGAGGGAAAAACAGAAAAGCAGCAAAACCCAGACAGATTATAATGTCCTATATTCCAGCACTTTTAAGTATTAGGATCATGCAACGCAATGATTTTTTTTTTTTTAATTTTTTTTTCCATTTTTTTTTATTACATTTGGACCTTTAAGAAACATATACCATCAGTTATACCACTATTCAGTAAAAATCTATTCTAGTTTTTAGAACGCATATTTGTCACAAACTATTTTGCTTCTAGTCTCTAAGACTTTACTAAGAGTTTATCAAAAAGGTTGGCTCTGACCTATGGGATCCTGAGCCTTGAGGTTTTAAATGTTTTGATTATTGTAAAACAATTTCCAGTGGATGAACCTTAATTCCCAGCTGTTTTCTTTCCAGAATGGGCTAACTGTTTTGAAGTTACATATTCCATTACGAGAATATTTACTTCCTTTAGTTTTGTGATCTACTCTGTCTTTGGAAAACTCAGGGAAAAAAAAGTATTTTTTCCCCCTGTACCATAAAGATGAGCTCTCACCAGAACATTTAAAAAACATGTGAGCCCATGGTAACCCTCTGTTCTGTTCGGTCTTCAACACAAAACAAAGTGGGAAAAGGGGAGAGGTGTGTATTTAGAAAAACTCCTAAATGTTTGTTGTCAGTTCTCCTCTTCTCCCTCTTACCTCAGTTGGAGAAATACTGATGGTAATTTGAAAACATAAATCCAGATCCCACCCACAAAGCTGTGACTGACTTAGTGTGAGATGAGAGCTGGGGAATCTTGTCTTAATAGCTCTAGTATTGCTCCTGGGGCCCTGCCAGGACTGAGGAACAAGGACACAATCTAGTGGAATGTGCGACATATAATCCCTCAGAAATATCACTTCCCTTGATGAGAGGTAAGGTTGTATACAATCCCTGGGAAGAACCTAAAATTGGTTCTAATTGTTTTATTTTCTGAAATTGTGACAGAGTAAATCTATTCTCATTCCCATATAACAGGCCTTAAACTAATTAAAAGCATATATCATAGAAAATGGGGCTTTCCTGATGGCTCAGTGGTTAGGAATCCGCCGCAATGCAGGAGATGCAAGAGATGGAGGTTCAATCCCTGGGTCGGGAAGATCCCCTGGAGGAGGAAATGGCCACCCACTCCAGTATTCTTGCCTGGACAAGGAGACTGGTGGGCTACAGTCCCTGGGGTCCCAAAGAGTTGGACACGACTGAGTGACCGAGAGCACACACATCCTAGAAAACAAACACAACAGGGACCCACGGTAGAGCACAGGGAACTACACCCAATACCTTATAAAAACCTATAATGGAAACGAATCTGAAAAAGAAAGTATGTGTACGTGTAACTGAATTACTTCATTGCATACCTGAAACTAACATACCACTGTAAATCAACTATATTTCAATTTTCAAAAAGGCAGTTAAAACAGAAAAAAAATTTTTTAAGAGTTAAAAAAATAAAACCATATATCATGCCCCAAGCAAGAATACACTTTCCTAGATTATACATAACTAGTTCCTTAGTTCGCTAAACTCTTCACCTTCATGCTTACCTTCTCTAGTTAAGTTTTAGTTTGCCAACGACACTGTGAAAATAATATTCTAAGAACTGAATACAGTACTCAAAATGTGGTCTAATCTACAAAGGAGGTCAAATTGAAAGAAGGTCTCCAAGACATAGAAGTATAATAAAGAGACCATGCAGGTCACTTCCTTGAAGAGAAGAACCTTCGGAAGAGGAAAACACCTTTAGTTTCTCCAAACCACCGAAGTCGAGTAGGGTCCAATTTGCGACCAGAAAAGAGAAGCAGCTGGGGCCAGGACAACTATATCCTGACCCTGGTCACTGGTCAAGGCCAACTCTAACAGGACCCTGACCACCAGGTGCGTGCAGGCCAACGTATTCAGACATCTCCTCGTTGTAATTGGTTCATTCCCAAATACATGAAAGTCCCTCTCTTGAGACAAGACACAAAACGTGACAGAAGAGCTTGGTTTAGTGGTGGTTTAGTCACTAAGTCCTGTCCAACTCTTGCAACCCCGTGGAATGTAGCCTGCCAGGCTCCTCTGTCCATGGGATTTTCCAGGCAAGAGTACTGAAGTGGGTTGTCATTTCCTTCTCCAGAGGACCTTCCCAACCCAGAGATTGAACCTGGATCTCCTGCATTGTAAGCAGAATCTTTACCTACTGAGCTACTAGGGAAGCCCATGGAAGACAGAAGAGCTCAGGTAGCCCGACTCCTGGGGGATCTGCCAGGGGATGAAGGGGCTCATCTACTAGTCAGTCCCCTCACCAGGATGAGAAAACAAGGAGATAATAGTCTACTTCTTTCGCTCAGCTTCTGTAACAGAGAATTGCTGAAGATTCTTAAGGAGGATGATCAGACTGGCATTTTATTTATTTTTTAATTTATTTTTAATTGGAGGATAATCACTTTACAATACTGTGCTGGCTTCTGCCATAACCAACATGAATCACAGGTATACATATGTCCTCTCCGTCTTCAACCTCCTTCTCACCTCCCACCGCCCTAGGTTGTCACAGAGCACCAGATTTGAGCACCGAATTGAATGAATTAGCCATTCAGCAAATTCCCACTGGCTATCTAGTTACACATGATAATGTATATGTTTCAGTGCTACTCTCTCAATTCACCCCACCCTCTCCTTCCCCCACTGTGTTCACAAGTCCGTTCTTAATGTCTGCGTCTCCACTGCTGAGACTGGCATTTCAGAAAAAAAGGTTCTGGTGGTCTGGAAAAAATGATGGACTAGAGCAGGAAAGCAAGTGAGCCAAGGACATCAAGTGGGAGGGTTATTTAGATAGAGCAGGACAACGGTAGCACAGACACAGTAGATTTTAGAGAGGATAAAAGGGACTGGGAGAATTTGGTAGGAGGCAGAACTGACAGAATTTGACTAAGTGGGGGAACACACGGTTCGTGTCTAGAATGACTTAAACTGCTTTGTGAAAGTGTATAAGAGGGAGGACTATGAGATTAGCCAAGATAAAGACACCATATGTGAACTAGATCGCCAGTCCAGGCTGGATGCATGAGTCAGGGTGTTCAGGGCTGGTGCACTGGGATGACCCCGAGGGATGGGATGGGAAGGGAGGTGGGAGGGGGGCTCAGGATGGGTAACACATGTACACCCATAGCGGATTCATGTCAATGTATGGTAAAAACCACTACAATATTGTAAAGTAATTAGCCTCCAATTAAAATAAATTTTAAAAAAAAACAACTAGAGGGGCTTCTGAGAGAAGACAGTGAGCTCAGTGTTTCAAATGATGACACTGATGCATCTATAATAAGACACTGCAGTGGGGGTTATCTGGTTGGCTGGTAGATATAGGGACCTGAAACTTAGCAAAGAATTGGAAAAATAAATAGATGTGAGCATCACTGGTGGGAAAGTGAAAGTCGGATTTAAGGGAAAAGATGAGAACATTCCCGAATATTGGGTAGAGCAGTAATCCCTCCCTCCAAGTGCAGTCCACAGACCACCTGGACCAGAGTCACCTTTACTCTGGATCAGAAGCCCAGGAAGGTACCACAATTTTTTGATGTTTTAAAACAAAATTTAAGAATGATTCTGGCAGAAATTGGAGAAGAAGGACAAAGACTGAAACCATGGGGAACCTAAAGGTACTGGAGAAAGCCAATAAATGAAAATATCAAAGTGGAGAGGTAATAAAAGAGTTGCAATAAAAAAAAAAGCCATATTCTGGCAGAAATTGGAGAAGAAGGACAAAGACTGAAACCATGGGGAACCTAAAGGTACTGGAGAAAGCCAATAAATGAAAATATCAAAGTGGAGAGGTAATAAAAGAGTTGCAATTAAAAAAAAAGCCAAGAGAGCCAAGTAAATGCCATGACTGCATCTTTTAGAGGATGCAGATTACCTGCTATAATCCCATCCATCTGCTCCAGCGCTGCAGCCAACATGTCACTTGCATCACTCATCATCTTGTTATTTGTCAAGGGCAAATTCCAACCTAGATCTGAAAAAATAATGATGTTTATCATTACATCCTTCAAATGATATATGCTTCTTGGCAGGTTTGATAATTCAACATTAAACTGTAACTCCACCTAGCAGTGACATACAGAGAATTGTGAAGTATCAGAGCTGAATTAAGTGAATCATTTAATAAACTGTGACCAGTCACTGTGTGCCTACTCTACCGCTGGATCTCAGGCTATGCCCGATCAGTTAATAAAGTAAGTATGACTCAGTTCTTGCACCCACAGTGTTTAAACTCTAGTAGGACAGTTTCCATGCTGTCCTCTGGAGAGCTCTAGGTCTCTGTGAGGGCAACAGAGGTGGCTGTGGAACCCTGCTCGGGGCCATGAGAGATGCTAGGGAGATCAGACTTGGTTCTATCTGCCCTGGCTCCACCCAATCTCTGCTCTGTCAGTTTTGCCTTTATTTTTATTTTTCTCCTCAATAAGGAATTACCATGAGATTTGTGTAAGAAAATGATTCAAGAACATACATAACAAGTACACACACACCTACTGGCATTTTGCACTGTAAAAATGACTATCCTGTATTGAGTGTCTATGAGTGTCTATTCTGTACTGAGTCCCATACATTAACATAAATTACCATAATCCTTAGTCATGAGAGGAACCCTATTAAATGCACAAATCCCTCTTCATTTTATAATGATCTTTGCCTATAAAGACTGCAAGTAAATATAACAAAAACAAGTTTACAAAGATCAGTTTTTGAACTAGAGCTATCTGATTTCCACTGTAATATTAAATTTTTATTTCTCTGATCCTATCAGAAAGAGTTAGGCTGAAATTGTGTCACAATCTACTCACTCTTTTACCAGCTAAAAAAATAAATTAAAATTATTCTTGCAAAAAAATTGGCCATTAACAGGAAAAAAGGCAAATTATGTGATTTTCAATATTAATTAATGCATTTCAGGTACCAGCTAATCATCCAAATAAATTCTCCCAACACACTCAAATAAAGCTCCTACTACTTAGCAGTTACTGTGGTGGAGCAAACACCTGGGAAATAAAGCATATGCTGCTTAACAGAAAACTTTGCCCTCTGTTTCCAAGCAACCTAGGCCTTACCACTTTATTTTTACAAACATATTTACAGTTCTGATAAACAGCTGCTTAGATCAATTCTCTATTATGCATTCACTCTCATAAAATGCCATTAATCATTGTGAAATCTTACTCTGATTGGATAGTTTTCATATATTTCATTTAAGAATTTCAAAGGTTAAAGTCTCTGGCTATGTGGATCACAACAAACTGGAAAATTCTTAAAGAAATGGGACTACCAGACCACCTTACTTGTCTCCTGAGAAACCTGTATGTGGATCAAGCAGCAACAGTTAGAACTGGACATGAGACATCTGACTGGTTCAAAATTGGGAAAGGAGTATGACAAGGTTGTATATTGTCACTCTGCTTATTTAACTTCTATGCAGAGTACATCATCTGAAATGCTGGGGTGAATGAATCACAAGCTGGAACAATCCACAGCTTCCACAAGATTGGTGGAAGAAATAGCAACAACCTCAGATGTGCAGACAATACCACTTTAATGGCAGAAATTAAAGAGGAAAGTGAAAAGCTGACTTGAAACTCAACATTTAAAAAAAAAAAGATCATGACATCTGGTCCCATCACTTAATGACAAATAAAAGGGGAAAAAGTAGAAACAGTGGGAAATTTTATTTTTTTAGGTTCCAAAATCACTGTGGACAGTGACTGCAGCCTTGAAATTAAAAGATGCTTGCTCCTTGGAAGCAAAGCTATGACAAACCTAGAAAGAGTATTAAAAAGCAGAGACGTCACCTTGCTGACAAAGGTTCACATAGTCAAAGCTATGGTTTTTCCAGTAGTCATGTATGAGTGTGAGAGTTGCATCATAAAGAAGGCTGAGCACTGAAGAACCGATGCTTTCGAGCTCTGTTCCTGGAGAAGACTCTTGAGAGTCCCTTGGACTGCAAGAGGATCAAACCAGGCAATCCTAAAGGAAATCAACTCTCAATATTCATTGGAAAGACTGACACTGAAGCTGAAGCTCCAATACTTTGGCCACCTGGTACAAAGAGTCGACTCATTAGAAAAGACTCTGAGGCTAGGAAAGATTGAAGGCAAAAGGAGAAGAGGGTGGCAGAGGATTAGACGGTTAGCTAGCATCACCAACTCAGTGGACATGAATTTGAGCAAACTCCAGGAGATAGTGGAGGACAGAGGAGCCTGGTGTGGTATGATCCATGGGGTTGCAAAAAGAGTTGGACGTGACTTGGTGACTGAACAATAACAAAGAATTTTCCAGAATTTACTCCCTTCAGAAGGTATAAAATATCACTACATTTTATGTAGAAATACTACACCACAAAAACACCCAAGGCATGCATTTACAGTCACCCAGAAATCAAGGGGCTAATAAGTTAGGTTATAAACCTAGGTGTTCTCAAAAATCTACTAGCACATTTAGCTAGTGCACAGTGCAGAGAGGTAGGGCAGAAATTTAATGATCACACTTCAGGCTTAAATACTCAAGAAACATGAAGGATTAAGCCAAAGAGTGTACGGTCCCTGAATTCCACATAATTAAGTGGCCTGGATTCCCTTTCATTTTAAAGTTGAACTTCAAAGAGCTCTAGATAGATGCTATCTATCTATCTATATTTGTGTGTGTGTGTGTTTATAAATAAGACAGACAGACAGACACATGCCAGGCTCAGCTATAAACATGGGGAATACCAATAAAAATAAAATAATGCTCACATTAGAAAAACTCTCATCACCCCACTAAATCTTTGCGGGTAACTGTAATTTGTGTAGAGCAAGAACACTTTTTCAAGAAAGACAGGTAGTTATCTATTTCTTCTCTGTTCCAATGAACCTTTCAAATGCTAAGACACAGAGGTACGAGAACCTAGGCAATGCTTTTCAAAATGGTGGAGAAGAACCAATATTTTAAAAAAAATTTCCAGTTTATTAGAGAGCAAGTCTTTGTTTAATATAATATGATGAAAACATTAAAGTGTTATAGAAGTTTATAGATGCTTACTCTCAATCTCTATACCTATCACATAGCAGCCTACATGTAATAATAAGAAGACAGTAAACACAATTAATAAATATGTACATAATATGGCGAAGGTGGTAGGTGCTAAGGGAGAAAATTTGAGCAGTTATCCTCAGGGAGGCAAGGGGTCAGGAATGTGGAGAGGTCCCTGGTGGCTCAGTGGTAAAGGAACCCGCCTGCCAATGCAGGAGACACAACACAGGTTCTATCCCTGGGTCGGGAAGATTCCCTGGAGGAGCAAATGGCAACCCACCCCAGTATTCTTGTCTGGAAAATTCCATGGGCAAAGGAGCCTGGCAGGCTACAGTCCACAGAGTCTCAAAGAATCCAGCATGACTGAACGTCTGAGCACACACACACACACACATGCACACAAATTAAATCGAGTTGTCAGGAAGAATGACAGACTCAAAGATCAAAGACGTCTTTAAATTTAGTTAAATATAGGTGGTAGTTCAGTGGTTTCCAAGTATAAAATCACTACAAATTGATTTAAAAAATGGGAGAGGTAAAGACATGAACAGACATATAACAAAAGGGAAACACTTTCACCAATATAAAATATGAAGAGATGCTTAATATTAATACTCAAAAAATTTAAGATAGCAATGTGATATCATTTTATATTCAGTCAGTTGGCAAAAAAATGGACACTACTAAGTACTATACAAGGATGTGAATTCACAGAATCTCTTACAGAATGGTAATGGGAATGCAAAATGGGCTAAAACGAAAACAAAAACAGGTAGAATCTATGGGGAATTTAGCTCTTGAGTAAAGGTAACTGTGCATAATGAGTGAGGGTCACATTCACACATCTTTTCACTTGTGGGCACTCCCCCGTCCACATGATGCAGAGTGATTTGAGTTTATGGAGGAAATCACAATCTTACTGGCTCAATGGATAGAAGAGGGTAAAGTTCTTACACTATCCACAAAGATGCTCAATACCAACTCACAGCAGGCTATGATAAGAATATATAAAACAATCCATCCAAACTGTACAAAGTAAAAAGCCAGTTGAGTTGATGAGAGATAGAATACTAATAAAATCCTCAATTAATCCAAAAGAAGGAAGTAAAGGTGAAACAATGCTGGGAGAAAAAGACATCAAATGGCAAATGATAAACTTAACAATCATATAATTTACTACTACATTAAATGTAAATGGAATAAACTTTTAATAAAAGCCCAAGATTGTCAGACTGGTTAAATGTAAAGACATAAAATATAAGAATGAAAAATAAGATATTACGCACACAGTAAATAAGTGTGGGGAAGGAAGATTGGCCATATTAATGTGTGAAAAGTGACTTTCAATCAAGTATTACTAGAAAGAAGGATATTTTATAATGATAAAGAGTCAATTCATCACAAATGTTTCTGCAACTAATAACAGAGCTTCAAATAACATGAGGCAAAAACTGATACAACTCAAGGAGAATTACACAAATTCAGTCCATTTATATTTAATAATCAATACAGTTGGAAAAAAAAAAATACAGTTGGATTTAAGTCTACTGTCCTGCCATTTTTTTCTGTTTATCCCATCTTTCATTTGTTCCTCCTTTTTAACCTTCTTTTGGAATGACAGACAAGATAGGAAAACAAATCAGGGAATAATACAGACTTTAGCAACACTATCACCCACCTTGACCTAATTCAATTTATAGAACAAAACATCCAAATGCAGAACATATTCTTTTCAACCCACATGTTATACACACTAGGCCAGGCCATGCGTGTATGCAAGGCTACAAAATAGGTCTCAATAAATTCCAAATGGGCATTAAAGGATTATACAGAAGAGTAAGAACAGCAACCGAAAGTGGTAAAGTACTAATATTAAGAACAGAGCTTCCATATTTATTAAAAGTCTGACTTGTCCATGCCTGAGCTATTTTAGTGGCCTCCTAACTTCATGAG